AGCAGCCTTAACCGGAGGGGCGGGAACAGGACGTGTCCCGCCTCCGCCAGCCAGTCATTGGTGGTGGCGCCCTGGGAGGCGGGGCCCCCTCGAAGGCCGCGGGCCCTCATTGGGCCGCGCCGCACGTCGGGTCGCCTGACTGGCAGGAGACAGCTGCAGCGGGGAGGGGAGCGCGGAAGGGGCGAGCGCTTTCTTCTGGCAGCCCCAGCCTTCCCAGGCTGTCAGGCATGCCCAGCTGCGGGGACGCCTAGGTTCCAGCCGAGGTTCTCGAGGGGAGAGAGCGGGAAAAGCACCGCTGACGCAGGAGCTCGGGTCCAAGACGGCAGGGAAGATGGGGGTGCGGAGTGCGCGGCTGAGGGGACGGCAGAGCGCCGGGGAAAGTCTCCCGAAGGTAGACGGGACTTCACCTGCGTCCCTAAGGCACAGGTGTCCGCTCCCCGGCGGCTCAGACGCGCTCCCGTGTGCAGGAATCAGCAGCGCGCCAGGCTGCAAACATGACGACTGCGTGTGATCGGCGGGCCACTCCTGTTTCCAAACAGCCTGACCTACATCTCGGGAAAGCAGGAGGATGTCCATTGATAGATAAAGAGGCTCGGGGGTGATATTGTTGTACAGCAGCGTGCTCCTAGCGTGCAGCCCGTGGGGTATTGACTTAGTTCTGATTTCCCTCCCATCCATCCTTCCTTCCCCATTCCCCGTCTGTTCAGGGAGGGGGCTGGATTTTAAAACTAAAACGCAGCATAATCAATTAGCCACAGTTTGTGAAGGAGCTGGGAAGGCATGTGGACGAAGGAGGAGACTAGAAAATAGGTAACCAGGGTTGCTCTAATTTCCCCCTTTCTCCTTATTTTAGAAGTGACAGCCTCTTTCACCAGATGCTGTTGCTGAGCTAGTTTGTATCTATCCCACCTCTATTTAAGGACAGTTAAACCCTCCAGGTATCACCATCGGGGCCTGAAAACGCAGTTTGCATGCTTCAAATGTTACAAATTTTTCCTCCATCTCTTTTCATAAACAGTCATTTTCCATTTTTGCCCCCCTCCCCCCAAGAATGGAGACTAACTTTTCTACAAATAAAGCATCCAAGTTCTCTTACTGTATTCAATTTTTTTCTTTATTTATATTTCAAGATAAGGTTGGGAGATTGTCTTTTACTTATGTTTTAAAATTTTACTGTGACTTCCATCCATTATCTCAGTTTGCACTCTGAAAAACATGATACAAGTATTACTTTATCTGTTTTATGGGTATGGAAATTAAAGAGACAGAGAAGTCCAATGACCCAGAAGTATAAATATGACCTCTTTTTGGCACCAGACATTGTTCATCCAATTTTGAAGTTGAGTGTATGCTATCATGGGGCCAGTGATAAGGGGATAGGTGGCTAATAAATTGGATAAGACTGTTAAAAGTTTATGAAATAAGCTGTGAGAACCATGACTCCTTGATACTTTTGTTTTTTGACAGTAGGAATACTACCAATCTTCAGACAGGTAACCAGGTAGCTATAGTAGTGGAGGGTGAATTAGAAGCCAACCACAGCTAATAAATTGTAAACACTTGGAGTGAATATAAATTAGAAAAATTATTGTGCAGTAATTGTAATCAAATTTTGCTTTGCAGCATACCAAAAGATTAAAAGCATATGATGCTGATGAAGACATGTACAAACCCAGTTTCAGGAATCTTGTTATATCCAGCAACAGCAATTATATTATCCATTCACAGTCTTCTTTTTCATGGTTAAAGGTGCACTAAGAAGATATTGTGAAGAGCAGTCCAAGGGTTGACTTTACTACATGCCGTCTCTAGATATCCAGATCATTATAAATATGGTAAGCCAGCTGACTTTTATTTTCCTAGTTATTATCAAGAAAGAGTTAAAATTTTATTTTCTCAGGTAAATTCTCAGCAAATGCCTAAAATGCTTTTTAATAGGGAAAATGCATTCCCAAACAGCATATGGATGGAAAAGGCAAACTCTCCAAGAGCCCTACACATACATGTATCCAACATCAGATCCATGTGTTTTCAATAGATGACTCTGTGTTAACATCTTCTCCACTTATTTCACATATAAATATTTTACAGTTACCACAATTAGATAGTAGGTATTCTCAGAGCAAGATTATTAATGCAAATATTGTATAAACATAAATGTAAATAAATTGAGAGCCATCTATAGATGACTATTGAATGGAGAGTATCATATGTCTATACATGAGTAAATTATAACTACTGGTAAGCCCACCTCTTCTTCTAATGGTGTAAATCACCATAGTCACCACTGAACTGATTTGTATATCTTAGATAAATATTTACCTCATTTTAAACATGAGTTCTAGTCCTGAAAGGTTTTTTTAAATGCTGTTGCTCTTACTGAACTATTATTTCAACAATGGGATATTAAGGAAAATTTTGCACAAAACAAATTTGGTACTGAAGGATGAATAAGGCATGCATTGTTGAATATGTTCTGTAGCTAATGCACAAACTATGCATTCAATACTTTCACAAACGCTCATTGGAAAAGCCAAGTGAAAGGGCATTTAATCAAGCTTATCTTTGCACATTAATAAAAATACCTAACCTATATTATTAAATCAAACACACAGTTTCTATTTAAGAGTTCTCATCAACTTTAGGTATACTTCCTTAAGCTAACTAGTTACTCGAAGGATTCAGTAGAACCCAATTTCAATAAGAACAATGGGTTAATAAAATTATAGCAGCCCAATAATCTATAAACTCCAAGAGTCCATTAGAACTTACTCACAATAAGAACCATGGGTTAATAAAATCTTAGCAGCCCAATCATTTATATTAAGCTTGCTAATGCCTTGGTACCTGGAACAGGATATAAAAAAGGACCAAAATATTGAATGACTGATTTTCATCTATTGAAGAGCCTGGCAGAGCCCATTACATAGAAAGTGCTGTTTTAATATTTCCATTTATTTTAGTTTCACTAACTAAACTAGTGAAATCAGTTCCAGTTTCTTTTAGAACTTTCATTATATATTTTAGGGTTGCAAGTAGGAAAGAAGGGAATGGAGTCTTGGCTGTGCCAACAGTCAATAGCAGCAGTAGCAAGTGCAGTGAAAAATCTCTCATAGGTAATGTGTTCAGAGCCAAAATATATGCTATATGTTAAGATGCCACAGTACAAAATGAATATTCATTGCTCAAAGCTGGCCTATATATATATATACACACACAGGGGAAAAAAGTGTTTCCTGATTGGAAAACTTTAAAAAATTATCATTGAATTTTACCAGATACAAATGTAAGAACTGCAGATGAGAGAGAAAGGACTGATGTATGTTGAGAGCCTACTATTGTGCCTGGAATGTTGTCACTCTAAATCTTCACAAATGTAAGGAAGGCCAAGAAAGAAGCTGATTTTAATTCTAAAGTGGCCAACAACTCAAATACAACATTCCTGATGCCAAAATTATCTCTGTTTGGAAAATTAACCAAGTTCATCTTATTATATATCTCTATGGACAATCACTGAACTGACACATTCTGGTCCACACTGATAGCAGCTGAGGAGCAGTTACTGCATTGTGAGAAAGGGGAATGAAGCTATTGTTTCAAGGTGAAAGTTATTGACTGTCCTTTTCAAATTAAATCCTTGAATTGTTGAATTGTAGCTCACATATTGATTATTTCTAGAAATCAATATATTAAGGTAAGACATCACATCAGTAAAATAATATTTTTATGTACAGAAAATGAAGATCTGAGCTCTGTTCTATTCAGTATAAAATTAAGAGATGATTTCATACAAACAACCTTCAGGTACACTAATACTTTTGCTACAGAGACAGATGGATAAGCAATTGTTTTATTTCACTAAAACAAGTTAATAAAGGGTGGATTAAATTTCAGTTGGATTATTTTTAAAAACACACACTCATGGAAAGGATTAGTTAATATTGTATTTTAAGAGAATACCATCTCATTTAAGGTTTTAAATTACAGCAGATACTTGTTGATTTTATATATATATATATATATATATATATATATATTTATTCTATTATTCTGGTCTCTCACATTAAATGATATTGCCATGAAGGAAACCATCATTATGAAATCCTACTGTATAAAATAGTAATCACAAAGTAAGTACAGCCATTTGAAGAGAATGATAATAGAATTAGAAAACACAACTTCAGAGACAAGATTTTATCAGCCCAACAGAGAACAACAAAATTTTAAAATCAAAGATGGGCAATGTGTAAGACATTGACTGTCATGACCATCCAACCAGTTTCATGGAAGTTATCTCAATACATGACAATTAAACATAAAATGTAATCTTAGATTGAATCCTAGAACATATTTTGTTTATATTTTATTGTTGTTGGCAGCGGTGCTGGTGATGGTGTTTTTTCACTATGAAAGACAGAGATGAGATAATTAGCAAAATGTAAAAAAGCCCTAGAGTTTTACTTTACTGATATTGCTAACTATATTGTGATCATATAAGTGAGTGTCTATGTTTTGGAAAATTCATAATAAAATATTTAAGGGGTAAAGGGACATAATGTTTGCAACCTACTCTCAAATACTTAAGAAAAAAATATATATACATACATTTATAGAGAGAGATAAAGGAAGAGACAGAAACAGAAAGAGAAAAAGAGAGAAAATGATAAAGTGATAGAGCAAATGTGGTAAAATAGTAACATTTGGGTAAATTGGATGAAGGGTATACTCAAATATTCTCTAATATTTTTGCAACTTTTACATAAATCTGAAATTACT